GATGCCAGATGGATTCTCTTGAATCTCTCTGTCCCCTCCTTTTCTCTCCTATTGTTAATGCCTTGGTTCAAGTCTTCGTGATTTCTCATCTCACTTCTGGCGAACAACTCAACTGTAGTCTCCCTTCATCTTGGCTTCCTCTTACCACTTCCCTTTCCTCCTTGCTGCAAGGACTATCTTTCTAAAACTCAAAGCACGCCCTGTCGCCTTTACCTAAAATTCTTCTATGCCTTTCCGTTGCTTAAAATTTCTTCGCTTTCCTGTACGTATGTTGTGCCTTAATAAAAATTGAAGGGAAGGAGGTAGCCAAGCTGAGAAGGTCTGGGGAACATCCCAGTGGCAGGAGCTGCAAGCTTCAAGATTCTGAGTGGGAACCCATGTGGCTATGTTGACTGCCAGGAAAAGGCCACTATGGCTGAGTGTAGTGAGCAAGGGGAAGGACAGACAGAGGACAGAGAGGTGGGTAGGGTCCATGTCAGAGAGCTTATACTTTATTCTAAGTGAAGTGGAACCCCATTAGAGGGTTTTAAGGTGGGGGAAGAACTATACAGAGCAAAAATGAGGCAGGAAGACAAGTTAGGAGGCTGCAGCAGGGCTACAAGTGAGAGATGGTAGCCCGGACTAGCACTGGAGCAGTGAAAATTGTACACATTCACCACGATTTATTTATCCATTGAACTGCTGATGGCCATTTGGGTTGTTTCCAGTTGGAAGCCATGGCAAGTAATGCTCCTATGCACATTCTTGTACTTGTTATTTGGGCACAGATACATGTGTTTCTGTTGCGTATGTACTTAGGAGTGGAATTCCTGAGTGGAAGAGTGTAGCAGACACTAACTGTCATGTTAACTATATACCCTTAGCCTTTACCTCAACACACTCTCACGTTGCTTACCAAGGACACATGCATCTCTCCACTGGGGGACTTTTGTTTAACTGTGCTTGCATATTTGGCCCACATGAGCCACAAGGGTCAGAAAATTAATGCCTCCTGCTGCAGACTCAATGCCTGTTTCCCCCAAAATTCATATGTTGAAACCCTAAACCCCCAATGTGATGGTAACAGGAGGTGGGGCCTTTGGGAGGTAATTAGGTCATGAAGGTAGAGCCCTTATGAATGGGATTAATGCTCTTATAACAAGATAAGCAAGAGAGATGATCTCTCTCCTGGCCAGGTGAGGGTGTAATGAGAAGGTGGCTGCTACAACCAGGAAGAGGGTCCTCACCACAACCCGACCATGGTGGTATCCTGATCTCAGACTTCCAGTCTCCAAAACGGTGAGAAATAAATGTGTGTTGTTTAAGTCCCCCAATCTGTGGTATCTTGTTATAGCAGCCCGAACTGACCGAGACACTCCTCGAAGCAGTTCTCAATTGACAGACGGTGGATTCCTTGTTCCTTGTTTGGGATGACTCTAGGCTTGATCTACACAGTCTCTCAGTTCCCCAGCAGGACTGAGCTCCAGCTGCCCGCTGTGGAAACAATCATGATAAGGCACCCTTACTGGCTTTATTACCTTCCCTGGATCACTTTCAAATTCCTTAATGGTGTGTCTATGTCCCCTCTAGTGCTGGCTGCCTTGGTTGCTCCTGATACCTTAAATAACTGGTGTTGGTTGTTTGTTTCTAATTTTATGCAGCTTTTATAAGGCATAAAGTTGGTCTGGTACACCCTGCTCTGTCATAGTCGTGAGAGTAGGACCTCTGAACACTTCATGTTAGCTATTCCTGTTATATAATTCAGTTTGCTTGGGAATCTTCAGTCCGCAGCTTGGATTAGCCATTCTGTCTAGAATTGTCAACAGTGGAGCTTAGAGATGAGCTAGAAATGGAAAACAAGAATTCATCATGTGGGAGCCGGCTCCATGGCCGAGTGGTTAAGTTCGCGCGCTCCGCTGCGGCGGCCCAGGGTTCGAATACTGGGCGCGGACATGGCACTGCTCGTCAGGCCACACTGAGGCAGCGTCCCACATCTCACAACTAGAAGGACCTGCAACTAAGATATACAACTATGTACTGGGGGGTTGGGGGAGATAAAGCAGGAAAAAAAAGATTGGCAACAGTTGTTAGCTCAGGTGCCAATCTTTAAAAAAAAAAAAAGAATTCATCATGTGTACCCACAAAGGAATATTTATAAAGGTCAGCCCACTCAATATTCTGTTAACCCATAAATGTGTGGAAACAGGGGCTACAATGTCACGCATGTAGACAATCTTTGCTGTCTGTATAAACACTTCCTTCTCTACATTTTCTATAGAGCATTGTGTTTTTATATCTCACGACTTGAATAAGAAAAAACACTATATATCAAAGTGCTAAAAGTAATTTGTTTACCCATGTTTCTTCACCTGGACTGCGCCATCTTCTAAAGAAGACTGTTACAGATCCAAGTTTTTTCACCCAAAGTTTATTTTCTTCTCATTGATCTTAAAGACTACATCGAACACGCAGCTCTGCTTTGTTTAAGCATGTCTTGTTTTCCCTCCTTTTACCTTCCTCTTCTCTCTCCTGAAATATTGGAAAACAAGACCTGGGTAATTTATTATATTTAAGTTAAAAATTTAGTCCAAAACAGACTGCACTACAGAAAGAGCACTTTAAGAAGATGAGGAAACGTTCTTCACTTACTGGTCTCTTAAAAATAATTTTTTAAAAAGATATTTATTAAGCATCTACTATCTGTTGGCAACTGAGGATATATCAGAGAATCAGCAGATTTAAAAAGTCCTAGCATCATGGGACTTACATTTCAGTAGGAGGAGACGGAAAAGACAAATAAGTAAAATATATAATATGTCAAATGAAGGTAAGTACTGTGAAAAGCAGAGAAAGAGGATATCCTTTCACTAATCGGGGAAGATCCCACTTGAAGGGTAAATAAGGGGTCAATTCTAGGGTAGGAGAGCCCCAATATCCAAAGCAGAAAGGGTGCTTCTCCAAGGAACCTTGACTTATAGAGTTGAGAAAGAGGCCTGGAATCATCTGTGAAAGGAGTTATCGTGCTGTGTGTCAGGTCCAAAGAGTAAAGAAAGAATAAGACCAAGGAAGGAAGAGCCAAGGTGGGCTCTCGGAGGCTGGGAGGCAGGACTGAGTGCGGTGTAGGGAATTGGTCTATGAGTGTGGATCAGAACCAGGTTCAGGAAGGATGAGCATGGGATCACTGAGCTCCATGGTGCAAGCTATGGGACAGTGCTGGTGGGCTAAGAATTCATGCTTCTAGATCCTTGATTCAGACCCTTTTTAGGAGTGCTTTCCATGCATGACGCATATTTCATCTTATGACCTCACTTATTACTATTTCTTCAATAGGAGAATGCCACAGATATGATTTAAAAATATCTTTTTGGGGCTGGCCCAGTGGCATTGTGGTTAAGTTCGCATGGTCTGCTTTGGCAGCCCGGGGTTCACAGGTTCAGTCCCAGGCGTGGACCTACACACTGCTTATCAAGCCATGCTGTGGCAGGCATCCCACATATAAGATAGAGGAAGATAGGCACAGATGTTAGCTCAGGGCTAATCCTCCTCATCAAAATAAATAAATAAATAAAAATATCTGTTGATTTACATTTGAATGTAGAGTGGGTCTACTGGAAACACAAGGACCACAACAGGATGAGGATGACATAGTTTGAAGTTCTGACTCAGGGACCGTTGGGACTCCTGAGTCCCTCTGCCCCTATTTAGCTCCTCCTTGTCCCCACTCCATGCCGGGGACAGACGACGCCACTTCTCCCAATTATGGAAACTCCCTTCTCTTTTAAGCAAGCAGAGGAAGCCAAACAAGGGTGCAATCTCAGGCAGAGTCCCACAGAGGGCGGCTTCTGCCTGATACTCTGCAGCTTGAGTGACACCTCAGAACTGTCCCAATCTGAGGAGGGGAGCTAAAGCTTTCATACCTCTCTGTCTGTCAGTCATTGACTAAGAACTGCTCGGCAGGACCTAAATAATGCCAGCTCTTGGGTGTGGAGCAAAGCAGGCTGAGGAGAGTCTCCCCAGAACAGCTGAAGGTGCTGGCTGTTGGAATCTGAGGCATTCTGGTGAGACCAATATTTTCTACTACCACGGGCTTCTGCTTAATTTTTTGATTCAGCAGCCACTGCTAAAACAAACACACATAGTTTAAAAACCACTGCAGTAGCAAGAAAATTGAATGTCTTTTGGTTTAAATACTTCCTTTCCATCTTCTGCAAGGGGACATGCCGTGTCATCAAGCAGAGATGGAGATCTGGTTAACGACAACCCAGATAAACAGCTTGGTCCTGGATAAGGAAAAGTCCCTGTGGATATCACCCACTGGGAACAATTTAAGAGTTGACTACATAAATTAACAGGTGACCCTATATAAATTAAACCCCCCCCCCCCATTTTGTAAGTGGCGAGGCCCCAATATGATTATTTCTAGTGGTACTTTTTCCCATGTGCCTCTTTCCTTATCTCTCTCTATTGGGTTGACTAAGCAGAAGGGACTGGCAGAGACGAAGCCTGTGAAGGAGTTCTTCACAGAATACGCAGGCCCTACCTTCGTGATAAACTCCCTGGATGTGAGGATATCGGAATATCCCTATTTCATTCTTGTCCCCATTATCCGCTTCATTAGATAGGTTCCACTGGCCATGAGTGCTCAAGCAAAAAGCCTATCGCTATGGACAGTCACTCATTTAACAAATGCACATAGAAAGGTCCTAGCACATGTACAGCCAAGACTTTGCCCTGCAGCAATGGACTCGAACAAATTCTGACCAGGAACATATCTGTCTAAATCAGCCTCTGCTCCAGTCTGTTCAGTATTTGGATTTCTGTTTTTTGAGGAAGATTAGCCCTGAGCTAACATCCGCCGCCAATCCTCCTCTTTTTTTGCTGAGAAAGACTGGCCCTGAGCTAACATCCATGCCCATCTTCCTCTATTTTATATGTGGGATGCCTGCCACAGCATGGCTTGACAAGCGGTGCCATGTCCTCACCCGGGACCTGAACTGGCGAATCCTGGGCTGCTGAAGCAGAACGTGCGAACTTAACTTCTGCACCACCGGGCCGGCCCCTGCATTTCATTTTGAATGATATCTGTGAGTACCGCTGCATTAGGTACTTTGCGATGAATGAAACAACCATCCAAAGAGGGACAGTGTCAATTGGCCAGGACTCAGTAACAGTCCCCATACTTACAACCAAAGTTTAGCTCTCACAGACGTCTTCCTTTGTTTTCCTTTCCAACCAAGCTGCCTTCCTACATCCACAGAGTGATGGCCCTGCTATACAAACCTGTTGTAAGAAAATGCACTATGAAATATTAAATCTCCATTTTATTTACAGATTTCCTGCTGAATCTCTCTGTGGGGGCCAGGTGAGTTAGCCAGCTGACGCAGCATTCAGATCTTTTGCTGGAGTGATTAGCAAACTGGATCACGCCTTCACCTGAGACTTCTCTCTCACGAATACTTTGAAATAAGAGTTCATTTTTATTTCAGATTCCTGGACAAACTGAACCTAATTTTGTAAAGGTGACTAGGTACATCAGGGTGTAATTGCAAAATGAATTTAACCAAGAAGATAAAATAATTTTATATGCAGACGTCAAAATTTCTAGAAGCCAGGAGAGAGGGAGATTAATTGGGACTCACACATCTCAGGATGACAAAATGCAGCTGTTGTTGACATCTGCAGGGCCAGCTGTTGGTACTTGACAACAGCTCTTGCTATGCATGGAGAGCCATGTCTGTTCACTTCTGATGAAATAAGGGCACAGTCAGCACGTGTGCTCAACGAGCGCTGAAGAATTGATTTGAGAGCAAAAGAAAAGTGATTTAACTAAAGTGTAAGTCTTCTTTTTCTCTCAAAATAAGATGCAATGTAATCTATACTATGGCTGAGACACATCCAAATATATTTGAAAGTCCTGCCTCGTTTGCTCCTACCATTCCCCCATACTCTCCCTCCGTCCCACCTCCCCACCACTCTATGTTTTTGACAGATTCCTGCCCACAGCTGAAAATTTGGAGAGCATTTAGTGTTTAATCCCTCATGAATTTGATCATAACACCACCTATTGTGTCTAGAGTGTTCTTTCATTTACAAGGCATTTTCAGATAGATTTTCACATTTGACCCTCACAGTACCCTTATGAGGCTACTTGTGTCATCATCCCATGGTGCAGAGGAGGAAACTGAGACTCAGGGTGGGTATGATAAGCTAGGTGACTTGTCCTTGGTCCATGAGGAAGTGACAGAGCTGGAGGGAGGACCTAGGGCTTCAATAACCCAGGCTGCCCTTCCACCTCACACCTAGGTATTGCATTTGGATTTTACTTCCTGGTACGTCAATATGTTGCCTTGTAATTCCCCCATGGACCTGTATGAAGACAGCAATATTTTGATACTTTCTTTACTCAGCACCACCTTATCTTGTGGAGGCTTGGACTTCTTTTAATTCTTCTGCCCAGAAATGACTAACACAACAGAAGACACAATTGCCTACATGGAAAGGTTTTACACAGGCATCTGAAGGACCCCTCTTCTCAAACTATCCTCCATCAACCACCCATGGCTTGAAAGTCCACCATTCCTTTGGGCACCTCACTCTCTCTGGATCTCTTTTAAAGTGCAAATGTCGCTGGGTTGGGTGACACATTGATTTAACTCGTGATGAGGTGTTATTGATTCACTCAATTCACCTGCACACAGACAGAGAGACCTAGGACAGCCTGGGAGAGTCCTTGGTACTAAAAAGGAAGGAGAGGGCAGTGAAGAAGAGTGGACTCATGGGTTTTGGAAAAGATCCCGATTGGCAGTTCTTGGGACTGAGAACCCAGGAGCCCACACTCCAGCACATCTCCATGCTAGGAGCTTTGCAAACCTGGCCCCACCTCTGAGGCTACTAGGAGTTGGAGAGGAGAGGGCCACTGCAGGAGGCGTGGGCTCTCTTGGATTTGAGCTCAGCGGTCTCCTGGTGGCTCGCCTTGGTCTGCCCGCTCATTTCAGGTGGGCTGCATTCAGCAGGGCCAGGGGCATAGGTGGAGTGGGCCAGAACAGGGTACTGCACGCTAACCAGCACACAGAATGTGACTTCCAGTCTTCCAGCTGTGGAAGCCAGAGGTGGCACAAATCTTTTTCTGTCTGACAAATCCCTGGGCTGCTCTGAGCACACTGACTGATATGATCATTATGGGAACCAAGTGCAAAAACAGGAACTTTCGGGGAGGTTCTGCTGAGAGAGAAAAGGTCCTGGTAATAAGGAAGTGTCAGATTAAGGTTTAAATTGGGATCTGAGACCTGCCCTGTCCTTTTGTGAATCGCTGCCCTGAGGGTGGAGGAATCTGGAATTCGCTACTTTATCATTTCTTGCTTTAGGAAGCCTAGGAATGGACTGGTTTTGCCGCCGGTTTATTCCACATGTGGAGTTACATATTCCATATCTTCCAATTTGACTTTGATTTTTTTTGGATTCACTGAGCAATCCTGCAATGTTGTCTCGTGACATTTTCAGTTTCCAAACAGAGGAATGTAAGTCCAGGGCAGTGTGTGTCAGGAGCAAGTGGTTCCATGAAAGGTGAGAACCTCTGGGAACTTGCCTCCCATAGTCCAGATCCCAAACTGAGGGTGTTTCTGACCCCTCATATCACTTGCAGCCAAGCTTGTCTAGGGAGGCTCAGCTGCCTAAACTGCCAGGACTTGACTAATCAAGCCTGTGACCCATATGTTTCTGGCTGTCTTCATTTTCTGCTATGAGGACCTATATGTTTCTGGCTGTCTTCATTTTCTGCTATGAGCTGGCACAGGGCCCTAGCTGTGCCTCATTCGTGTGGATTTAGAAATTCTTATCTTCAGAGTTTACTTCCATCAAGAGGGATGGAAGGAAGGAAAGGATTGGAGGGAGGAGAAAGGAAAGGAGGAAGGGAGGATGGAAGGAAATCCCCTTGCATAAGCAACTGCGGACATTCTAGAAACGTGCAGCATCATTGTAGAGATAGCAAACCTTCCTCCCTAAGCCCGTTGGATATAAACCCTAAAACCATAATTGCTCCTGACACTGGCCTACTTCTCTCTGATTTCCAAGTTAAACAATGACAAGGATTCCAAGGCAATGACCTCAATTCCCCAAACCCCCAGAGCTACTCTGTTTTCCAGGAAGCTGATCATACAGGCAGGATGGTATTGGACAGAGATAGACCATGTTTTCTGAATCAGTAGTTGGAGCTCATTGTCATGGGACAGGATATTTGAAATTGTATATCGAGTGAAAATCCAGGGAGCATGGGCCATAATTGTGGAATATGATTCAATATATGAAAAAAAAAGTGCAATGTACTAACCAGCCTTCTAAATACATCCTATAGGTATAATTCCATTTGCAGTGAGAGAACTTAATTTGAGAAAGAAATCTGTTCTAGCCTGACTTTGAAATTTTGAACACTCTCATCCCAGCCACCAGGTCCACTCCAGTAGAAGTGAGATGCTGGACGATAATGAAGACAATAATAAACAGCTACAATTTATTGATTGTTTTCTGTGTGCTGGGCACTGTGCTCACAGCTTTCCATGCATATCATTTAATCTTCAGAACAATCCTATATGGTGTTTTCTTTTCTTCATCATTTTTTTAATTGTGAAAGATATTGAAGTGGGTTTATAGGTGAAGAAAATGGAGTTTGGGGACATTATGGGAGTTTGCCCATAGTGTCACCGCTAGTACATGACAGCACCAGGATTCACCTAGCCACTAAACTCTGCTCTCTCAAAAATAGCTCCTGGAAAGTAAATAGGAGAGAAACAGAAACGTATTTTTTCTTCGTGTATGAGATGGGGCCCAAGGAGAGTGATCGTCTCCCCGTAGAATTCAGCCAAGAATTTCATGGCAAATATTGAAACAATGAGTATGAAATTTGTTCCATATTCTAACAGCAGGCCTCCTAGTGAAGTTGCTGTTCAAATATCTTCTTCCAAATTAATTGAAAACTCTGTGAAAGAAAGCCTCTTTGCTCCCACTGTTTCTCCTGGCAGCCCCAAGTGTATTGGCCAAGTGGACAGCCCGCTGAGGAAACTGCAGGGGACTGAGAAAAAGCAGAACACTTCCGGGATTCTCAAAGATGCCAGTTCCTCTCAAACTAGGCAAAAATTACTCCTGGTTCATAGCTCAGCTTCAACACTGCCGAGTTTAAGGGAAGGTTGTCCTGGCTGGACTGAATGGAGCCCAAGGTTGGGTTCCGTTGAGGCAACTGGCTAATGGCGTCTTCATTAATCTGCGTCCCTTTTGGCCACGTCTCACACCTGTTATCCTGGAGGGCATCATGAGCAAAACAGTCAGAGCATTAATCCATCTTAGGACTGGCAATGATCCTGGCTGACTCCGGGGCTGAGCGGAGTCTCCCTCAAGTGGATTCCTGGATTTCTGCCTCCCTTCGTTTTAGCAGAATGAAAGAGAGGCCAACTATAGCCACCCCTCTCCCGTTTCCAATTTCCCCTCATTGTTCTCCCTACACTCTTATTCTCTTGTTCATAGTTTTACTGCATGAGAGAAAATTTCAACTAAAATTGACATCTGCCAAGAGAAGAATTCTGTAATTGGCTGATACAAAGCTCATGGTTTCACGCCCAAAAGTGACCTGGCTGAGACCGACACGTTTCAGCCAGAGATACTCGACCCCTCCTAGAAACTTCTTTACTGAACACTGGGGCACCTGTTTGTTGCTTTCGCCAGAGCTGAGCATCAGGTGATCTTGAACGAATCCCTGGGTAACTCCTGGGCTCATTGTGAAGACTTAATGGGTCATTGCAGGCCTGGATGAGAACAGTGCCAGGAACATAAGAAGTGATCGGTCAATGTTAGCTATAATTCATGTCAACCGCCCTATCCTCTTCAGTTTACCAATAAGGAAACTGAGGCCCGGAAATATAAAGTGGCCTTCTCAAGATCACATGGAAAGGCAGTGGCAGGACTGCAACTGGAATCCCAGACTCATGGTTCCTTTCAACATTTATGAATTTATTCATAAATTCAACAACTGTCTATTAAGTTCTTTATTTTGTGCCAGACCCTGGCTGAGGATACAAAAGTGGAAAAGACACAAAAAGACAGTGGTACAGCCTGGCAGGAGCTTCCTGTTTATGCAAAGGGAAAATATGACCCATATATGTCATATGGGTGACAACCAGCTAGGGTCTAAAGGTGATTTTCAAGTTATCTAGGTAGTTTTGAAATTTTCACTGGGTAAAGTCAATAGTAGTGGCTCTTGATACCACCTTTTTAAAATTTATTTTTTAATATTAAACACTAAATTATTTAAACATTTATCGAGTATTTACACAATTCACCTCATATTCGAGTATTGTTATTTAAAGGAGATTGCACACACTGGCAACATCCGGCCAGCCCACTCATCCCAGCAGTGATCCTTGTGGAAACTTCCATACATTTACCACTGCCCTTCCCACTTGATCAATGTCATTTCTCAAGATATTCCCTAAGAGGATATTGGGGACCAGCTTTGTGCTCTTAGGTAAGTCTCCTTTCCTCCTTTCCTCCTTCCTTCCCTCTGCCCCTCTTTACTTTCTCTCCCTCGCTCTCCTCTCTTCCTTCCTTTATTTCCATGATTAAGAGCCCCCATTTAATGACCTTGAATAATCAGAATCACCTTAAAAACAGGATTATACATTCCGTTCAAGCAAGACTAGCCAGATGTGAATCTAAAGTTCCTGATGTAGTAACAAGACAACTTTGGTGAGGTACTGGAGAGGGCGGCACATTTGCATTCTGCTGTCCTTTCTTTGGAAAGTGGCAGAAGTTTCCCTGGCATGGGTCCCTCATGGGGTACCCTGCAGACGACGAGGAAAGATGTCACCTTCCATTTAGAGTCTGAAAGTAAGGAGATGAGCAGTGTTGCAGCCATGGGTGGAGGTGTGTGGATTGAATTATATAGAGAGGGAAGCGGTTGATAGGACAGGTTGTGCCTGGCTGGGTTGAACTCGTTTCTCTGGCTTCCTTCGTTCTCTGCTGTGAGCTTGCACAGGACCCTACGTCTGCCTGGATTTAGAAATTCTTCTCTCCAGAGTTTATATCCAACAGGCTTAGCTGATACAACTAGTTTAATAAGAAGGTATTTAAAGGGAGACCAGTCTTCTTTCCTTCATTCATTTATTCACTAAGCGTCCATTGGGTGCCATGAGTCAGCAGGTGTTAGGAGCAGCCTATGGCTCTTAATAGAGCTATAGGGGACTTCCTTGAGTGGCAAACACAGTAAAGAGGTGGCTGCAGCCCCACCAGCTCATCTGACCGAAACCTGCCTGTGCACTGTGGGTACATCACCACATTGTTTACCTGCGACCTCACAAGGACATCCATGCACCCCTGTTATTGCTCCTAACAATCTTCCCCATCTTCCTGAATCTTGCTCACCCAGGCAGTGCTTAGATGATGGCCAAATGAGCTAACATACGTGAAAGGTGTTGTGTAACTTGGGAAGAGGCCTATGTGTACAGGAAAGCACACTCCATCGTGTGAGTGATGGTGTCTCCAGGGTGGGAAATTGAGGGTGTGATAATGACAACCCAACGCATAGAGCTCATTGCAGCTTCACCTGTTTATATATTTTAGGTGAAAGTGATAGATGGGGAGCTATTTGCATGTGTGGGCAGAGTCTGTGAGAGTGCACGGGAAGGGAGTGAAAATAACACTCACTCCCTCTCCCAGCCCCTCAACCGTGTCAGGGGGAACCTGTCAAAGCCAGCTGCAGTACTTGGAAAGAGTGGCATTTGCTTCTTTCTCTTCTTCTTGTATTTTCAAAGTAGAAACCTGTGCTTTTAGGCAGCTATGTATCTATTTCTGCAGATCTGCCTACCGCTTATTGAGAAAAGCTTGACAAGGAGAAGAAGGAGCTGGCAGTGACACTGGAACACGAGACTTCATCCCCACGTTCCTCTGGTCCAGGGTCCTCCCTCTGACAGGCACGTCATGCCAGGACAATGGCAGGAAAGGACTAGCGAGTCAGAGCTTGGAGACATGTTCGTTCCCCCAACCGGTATCGAGTGCCCACTCCATACCTGCCATTGTGCTAAAGGCTGAGGGTGCCGAGAGGAGGCTCTGGGGACAGACCTGGGAGATAAGATGGCTAAATGGATAATTTCAAAATCATGCAGAAGGCGCTCTGCAAAAACGCGTGCACAGGATCCTTCATGGGAGGAGGTTTCCTGGAAAGGTGACTCCTGAACTGGCCTTAAAGGACTATGGGGGAGGCTGGCTGAAAGGAGAGAAGGTCAGTTTGGGTGGAGGACTGGCTGAGTAAACACATTGAGGAAGGAGACGTGGGGAGAGGCCGGCAGAGGAAACCTATCTGTAGTTTGATCTTGCTGTTTCTTGAGTCCAAAGCCTGAGGAGGCTGGTGAGAGATAAGGTAAGCTATCTAGGAATGGTAGGAGGGAAGATGCAAAATCCAGGACTTTCAGCCAAAGCAAGGAGAAACAAACAGGCTGTGAAGGTGTAGAGAAGAGGTTCCAGAGTTTGAGACAGCAGAAGGTTTACAGGGCATATGTTGGTAAATGCTGATTCTGGAGCAGGAGCTGTTAGCATTGGTAAATGCTGGTTCCGGAGCAGGAGCTCTTAGCATTGGTAGATGCTGGTTCTGGAACAGGAGCCGTTAGCATTGGTAAATGCTGGTTCTGGAGCAGGAGCTGTTAGCATTGGTAGTTGCTGGTTCTGGAACAGGAGCTGTTAATATTGGTAGTTGCTGGTTCTGGAGCAGGAGTTGTTAGCATTGGTAGTTGCTGGTTCTGGAGCAGGAGTTGTTAGTATTGGTAAATGCTGGTTCTGGAGCAGGAGTTGTTAGTATTGGTAAATGCTGGTTCTGGAGCAGGAGTTGTTGCTTTTCGTGTTCTGTGTATAGTGTGGGATACAGACAAGAAGCCTAAGGGTGAATGCTGTCCCAGATCATGGTGGGGCCAGAGATTCTGAGCTAATCAAACGGAAGCCTGCTTGATGCATTCTCAAAAGCGCTGTCCTTTAGAGACCCAGGGACGTCTCTAAGCCCCTTTCAACCTTGCGTGTATATTTGTTTAAAGATGAGTTTTATGTTTACTAAAGGAATTCAGTAAAACTCTAATGAATGAGAATCTTTTAAGATAGCCTTTTTCTCCAGAAAAAAATAGATATATGATGACTTTTAGGAAATTTGGATAATGCAGACAAGTCTGCGGAATAAAATCTAATTGCGTTACCAAATGATAATCGTTGGTGATAATTTTTATATAGCATATATTTTAATTTTCCATTTTTAAACTTACCATTACAGAGTAAATGTTTCCCATGCCTTCACATTTAAATGCCATGCCTTCAAATTTTCTATTTGTATCTTCCCATTACAGAGTGAACGTTTTCCACACAGAGAAAGCGGGTGTGCCAGTCGTTAATGTGTTATCTCTCAGCTTCGAAATAACCTTGCGTTGCCCTGCTTGGTGATGCTGGAGCTGGGCCCTGTAGACATTTCTCCTTCGCCAGCTGGCTGGCTGTTAGGCTTTGGGAACAGAGGGTGCTGGAGCGCCACTTCAGGGCCAAACAGGAGGAAGGCATTTCCCTTCCTGTTCCTAGCCCTGGCACCAGCAGGTCAAAGTGGAGAGGGCCTGGAAGTGCTCACCTCAGCATCCTGCCTGGACCTGCTCCGCTAGCCTGCAAGTTTCCCACTACCCAGGGCCATTGCTGTGGATCAGCCCCCATCTGCAATCTCTGGCAAGTCTCTCCACCGCCTGACAGGCTGCTCCTGCAGACCGTTCCTGGCCCACACGCTTGGGCAAGGGTCTTTGCCACCATCAGCCTGACTCTTACCCTTGCAGGGGCGAATTCTTAGTTCCTTCTTATTGCTCTCTGAATGTGCTACTTCTGAACCCCTTAACGTTCTCTTCTACCCCTTTTAGTAATTAACCACCTTTTACTAATTAGCACATCCTTATAGTAAATGTTTCCTGTCCAAGTTATTGGTGTTGTTTCTCTCCTTCCTGATGGGACCCTGACTGACACACAAGGAAAAGGGGAGAGAGGTCATGAGTAATTTGGGAGAAAAGCACTGTTCCCTCCCTTTGCCCTGCAAAATGATCACACACACACACACACACACACACACACACACACACACACACAGCCCTCTACCCGAAAGCCATTGAGAATCACTGCTTTTTACCTTCTATTCGTTTAGTCCAGGTTTTCCAGAAAGCAGACCTGAGGCAAGACTCCTGTGCTCGACTTTGTCAGTGAGTGCGACCACAGGAGCCAGAGTAAAGGACAGAGAGATTCCAGCGGGGAAGGAGAGGAACCGGGGGCAAAGACGCCTTAGCAAGCTGGCTGCCTCCAAGTGCGACTGAGGCTCAGCCCTGCCAAACTGCCCAGACGTGCCTCACGCTCTCCCCTGGCTCCAGGTACGTACAAGGGACTTGATACACATTTAAGTTATTTTCTGTGCACGTGTGTCTTTACTATGATATGTAATGCTGCAATCTCTTTGCCCCTCTCATTATTTCTCTTAGAGAAAATTATTTAAAATATATTTATTGTGTCGAAGTATAGGAAATGAGAATCTTTAACTAGAGTTTTACTGGAAATTTCAAATAACCAGAATTCCTTACCGCCTCAACATTTTTGTGTTTAATTTGTTTTCTCCAGTCAAATTCCTCAGTTGTAAGACAGACATGCTGTTCATTTACTGGCATGATCTTTGGGGGGTGAGGGGGGAATGAGATGAGGTGGAACTAACAAAGGATATCCATTCAAACAGAATTTTTTTGCAAATTGGTATACATTTATCTATAAAATCCCAGGCCACTTTATTTTTCAGTATCACAAAGTTGGAGTCTATTTACCTTCAAATTTGTAAGGTTCTTCTGAATCTCTTTGACCACTGGAAATATGCAAATCCTGAGTCCACTGACTTCACCGGATGCGGTAGTGGGAACAGAGCAGCTGGAGGCGAAGGGCAACACCGTGTCCTTAAGAAACTGCTCACACTCAAAGTTGGTTAAAAACTGGATGAACCAAACTTGTCCTAACTTGGCCTTGCACAGTGCCCGTATCTTCTGCCTGCCAACTCTACCCTGACCTTGGGGTCCAGGTTTCCCTCCGAAGGGTTCTCTTTGCCTTTAAGAGAAAATCAGACTGCATTTGTATAAGACATCAGTTTCTGCAGCTTTTCCTGAAAAAAATCACCTTAAATGTCTTTCCTTAATTCATAATTTATGCTACAAAAGAGAAAAGGAGAGTGCATCACTTGCATGATTCTGTTGACTGGAAACTAACAGGGCAGCATGACAGGAGATGCAGGAATCTAGAGTCTACAGTCCTTTGTGTGCGTGTGCTTCTTGGTCAAGAATGCATCTATCTAGACTACAGCAGGCTCTCAGTCAGTATTTGCAGAAGGAAAAAATTAAGAATGCTGTCATTCGAGGTTTTACATGGATGCCATTGTTAAATTATACTTTCAACTTGTATTTGCTGTTAAAAACAAAACTGTTCCCAACTGTTTCGAGCTTTTCTGATTTTCTTCTCAGGACTCAGATGCTTTTCTGCACAACTTCTGGAAGCTTTTGAATCCTTTCACAAACAAAACTCCACACCTCCCTCCGAGCTGACTCATGAACTTCCTGGTGAGTTTCTCACCAAACCTGATGATTAACACACAGGTGGTAGGTTTTACAGGGTAGCAAAGACATGGTGCCCATATGAGGAATTCAAGTCAATTCATCTCAGAATAAGTATTTATTGGATACCTATTGAGACACCTAGCGTGTAATCTTAGTTTGGGGAGGAGGCAGGTACCAAGAGAGCCATTTCTTGGAGGCTTTGATAGTCAAGGAACTAGGAAGCGCCCATCTGGACCACACAGCTCCTGGATCACATTTTTAGAGACAGTCACAGTGGCTGCCACTTTCTCGAAAGTCCTTTGCCCATTCAGTCAGTTTACACATAGCCACACATATACCATTCAATTTAGCTCCTGATCATAACATTGTTTGCAGATCTAGATCTTTGCAGAACTGAGCATGACAGATCTGAACCCTGTCCCCGCAGAACTTAATCTGGAAAGGACTGCACAGACCACCACACTAGTTATTCTGTAGATGAAGAAAGCAAGGCCTAGTAAGAGGGGAAATGACTTGCCCAGGATCACACAGCTAATTAGAGACTGAATTATGACCAGAGCCCAGGGCTTCCAGCTTTCCAAGAGTACAGTCGTATTAGTAAGAATTCAATGGTGAAATTGAGGGGATTGTAATATTTCACCATCAAACATTTATTAAGCTTCTACTGTATTCTGCACCAGTCCTTGGTCAAGGGCCAGACATACTGAAATGTATGATGAAAAGTTTGACCTTCTAAGATACAGTAACTGAAGTACATTTGGTCGTAGAAGCCAATGATTTTAATGGGGTTCCTTTTTAAATGGGCAAGCTTCGACCAATCCACCAAACAAACAAAAAAGAGCTTAATTTAGGAGATTGCAGCCAATTCTTGGGAAGCAAAATAGGAAAAAACAAAACAGAAGAACGGGGAGACAAATGGCGACAATAAAGATGTCAAACAGAAACTGAGCCATGTTTGGGTGGTGGAAGTATCTTACTCAGAGGAGGTTGAGTCCCCTTTGTAACCTTGTAAGCACACTAGCAGAGAACACCAAAGCCCTTGGGGACCCACACAGTTGCAGAGGCAGTCAGCTTTGGAAGCAGCTGAGAAGGATAGCATCGAAAGTTCAGCTACCTAGGGGGAAAAACCCCTGACCATAAATACTCTGGCAAGAAAGAATTTCTAACACATTGCATGCCTGGGGCTTGCAGGTGGGCCTTTGAAATCTTTCCTCAGGGTTTGGCAACACTGTGGTGCCTCTCAGTCCGCCTTTATTGATGTATCCATTAGAAAGTGACATGATTTGCTTACTAAGTTTCTGTTTTAATTTGCATCTTAATGTCCTATCATTAGGATATAAGTACAGGCAAAAGGAATTGAGTAATTTAGAAATTCCCTCTGGGGATTTGGTAACTCAGGACTGTGAACTTGGAAGGCTGCAGCCTGGAGAAGTGGGTATCTGAGCAGATCCATACCTTGAGAAGTGTTTTGAAGTGAGCCCACTGCTGCAGCGTGAGGTCTGAGCTGTCGAGGTGCGGGAGGGTGTCATGGCGGCCGGTGTGTTACGTCTGAAGTCGATGCTCACCAAGGCCAGTTTTCAGTGTCTCCAAGAAGCCCCTGGTGTTTTTGGTTTTGGTTTTCTCCTGCTTGTGTTTTGTGCCTACAGAGGTTCGTAGACAATGCCACAGCCACTGCCTCCTGGCATACGCGGTTTTGCTTCGGAACAATCTATCTTTGATTTGGGCACCTTAGGAGTAGAATCACATAGGGACAACCTAGGAAACCAAACAGCCCTGAGTTGAAGTCTTTCAACAAGTTATGTGACATCTCTGAGTCTCAGTGAGCTCTTACTTGCAAAATGGGTATAACAGTTAATTTGAAAAATTGTTGAAGCCTAAATGAGATAGTGTACTTAAGTGCCTAATGCAGTGCCTGAGTCAGCAGGTGCCGTTCCTGATTTCTCTGTGAGCGCCTTGCCTGGTTTCGGAGCTCCTCTAACTCACAAATGAAGCTCGCTCCGTGGGGTCCACAGGTAGGGCCACTGACCATCCAAAGTGCCCACTTTCCAGAACGGCATTTGACCGCCTAGAATGGCTGCTTCTTATAAATGGGCAAAGAGCACTAAATGCCTTGTCCAAGGCTGTTCAGGAAAGAATGTGATCCAGCCCTCCTCTCCTCTTGCCGGAGCCGAGAGCCCCAGCTGTGTGTACATAACACGAGGGCTGAAGCGCACTAGAGAGCATCTGGTCCAACCCTCTCGGTTTCGAGATGAAGAAATTGAAGGTGAGAAGGATGAAGGGACACGCCCAAAGCCAGGTAGCCACTTAGTTGCAGAATTAAGAGGAGAATTAATGTCTCCAATCTTTATGGAGATTTTATAATTTCCAAAGTATATTTGATTTGATTTGATTTGATCCTCACTACAACTTTGAGAAGACGGGAAGAGTATTATTATTCCCATTTTACAGAGAAGCAAACTGAGATTCAAAGAGGAGCAATTCCTAAGTCTCAAACCCAGGTCTCTGAACTCTGAGTCCAGTGTCCTTCCCAGGCTGCCAATGCTTTGCTGGTTAGCTCTGAAAGTGTGTCCATGAGCCAAACCTGGGATGCCTAATGTATCACTGGTCTCCCTTTTGTCAGGAAGGGGAAGTCTCGGATAAATTCTTAAAGGCAAAGAGACTCTGGGACAGATCTCTTGGGGGGACCTGACCCCAAGAAAAATCTTTTCATTCATTTATCCATTTACGTAACAAATATTTACTGAGCTGCCCCATATTCGAGGAATGTGCTAGGGGATGTAGGAATATGGATCTGCATCAAACATCATCTCAGCCCTCCGGGAACTTCAGTCTAGCAAAGGAGTTTATCATCTGCGAGCATTTATCTAACAAAGGGCCCTTCTCTTTTAAATAATAAAATAAAAATAAATAAAACTTCACTGTTTGAAATGTTTGGGTTCACCTTCTAGAGCTAATAACTATAGTCTGGTGATCTTAAAAAGTAAAAACTGTGTCCTTCCAAGTCCTAAGGCTGAGATCCTGATCATCGTTTATCTCTGTACAAGAACTAAGATTGTAGATCAAGAAAGGCTGAGCAATCGCACTCAACCTGGGCTGAAACCCTGAAGGTTAGTTTCCAAATATATGTGCTTCATTCATTGTTGTCTCTTTTTCTGATTTGATTCTCGAAACAGGGAATCTAGTATTTTGAGACTGTAATTAATTTAATTTTGGCTAATTGAGTTTTATTGCATATAATTTACAAAGCAAAATGGTACTTGGCAAAAATCCATATTCATTCATTCAATAATCGTAAAGTTCTATTTGCCAAATGCTAGGTAGGGTATGAATCAGGTCTTTAACCTCAAGGGGTTTCTAATCTCGTTGATCACAGATGGCAAATATACAACAAGAATGCTCCCGTTTCTGCTGCTTCTGCTCATGACAGACAATACCAGTTGATCACAGAACTCTTTTGATGCATCTGGATCTGGTCTCAGAATTTTTCTCAACACAAAGCTTCAGGTCACACCAATGATTAAAAGTTGCTTACTTGTTGAAACCTACTTGCCACCTCTGTGCTAAAGGAATGCTTTCTGATTCAACAGAGCTGGAAAAAACACAGTGGTTTATCCAATAAGGCCGGAAAAAAAGACCAGATCGAGAAGAGTATAAACCCACTTCAGTTCACTCTTTTAGCTTTTCCGTATATTTAAATTATATCATGTGGAAGAGAAACTTGTTTTGTTAAATACTTAAAGCTTAGTTTTAATTGGTTCTACATACAATTCAGTAGTAGGGCAAATCAAAAAAAATTTAAATGTCTCTAACAGGTGTTAACAATATGAAAACTACTACTAGATAGTCACGTTAACAAAAACTAAAGGAGGTACACATATAGGGCTGCTGACAGTCTGTTAGAATTTTAGTTTTATGAGTCAGTCTCTATAAATATCTGGCTAAAACACATTTACTTGTAAACACTCTGACCAAAGTGCGCCAAAGTGATGTGGATGGCAGACAGAATGCACTCAAGTAAAGTTTCATTTTCTCTTTCCATCCAAAAGTTGCCTTCTGGATATCTTTTTTGTTGGATTTTAATTTTTGTCCCTCAAAGTGGGTGATGTTGGTCACATCAGAGGAAATAATTTAGATCAACCTTAACAATTAAGATTATTTATCGACTAACTGTAAATCCTGTTATCAGCTGAAAACAGCTGATGTTTTGCCTAGACCGCAGACCGCAGACCCAGCCGTGGGATGCTTGTGCTGTGACTAGGCCTGTCACCCCCTGGCCTGCATTAACGCCACCAGGGGTACCAGAGCAAGGGAGTAAGATCTCCCCCGACTCTACATGCCAGGTCACAGCTGTGGCATTTTGTCCAGCTCTAGGCATCCATGTTTTAAAAGCTGGCGGCTGCTCTAGATGGTAAAAAACCTGGAAACCGTGTCATAAGAAGGACTGATGACGGAGGAGAGCGGCTCCATACTGTGGCAGATCCAGTTTGGTGGGGCATAAAGTTTGTACATTTTTTTGGCAGGGGTTTCTTCTTTAAGAAAAGAATATGACAAAATTAGATATGAATTTGAATATTTATTTTGAATGGGGAAACAGATCACAACAAATTACTGTGGCCTTGGAGATTCAGGTCACATTTTTCTGGAGAGCTCTAGACAGTTTACCAGAAATATTTAGGTCTAAATGCTTCCTCTTGGAAACCTGGCTTCCTCTCCCCTCCTAAAATGCTCTGTAGCTCTCACCATCAGTGAGAGGCCCTGATGTGTGAGCTTTGATAGCTTCACAGTTAATGTACCTCCAGTTCTGTACTGTGTGCAGGGTGGGGAGGAACCCTTCAAAGACTGGTAGGAAAGATGCTACTAGCTGCGTTCACTGATTCAAGGACTGTGGATTTGCTTCTCTAATGTTCTTGGAGATAGAACTTGGGCCCAAGGTAGAAACTGCAGCTAGGTAGATTTCGGCAAGGGTGTAAGAACTCTAACAACCAGAGTTATTCAACTGTAACCAGAAGAATTAGCTTCCTGGCCATGGGAGGAGGAAAAGTAGAAACAGAATCATCACCTTTCAGAGTTCTGTAGCCTAGAGCCCTCTATTGGGGGTAGAGCTTGGTTGGGAATTGGATCCCTAAAGTCCTTCAAACTCGCAAGTTCTGTATCATTCCAATATGATCATCTGTTCTTTTTGCCTGCCCTATTCTCATTTACCCTTCTTTTGGGAACCCCAAATTTCTTTTGGGGAAAACCACCCCTCCCACTGTCAGCCAATGTAGTTTGCCACCTTGTGGTGTCATTGCTGTCCTCCTCTCCAACCCCAGGATGGACATTTGTTCTAGTTCTGGCCACTGTAATTAATCCGAGGAGAGACATGACTCATGTCAGTGTGACCAGAGGAGTCTCAGAACTTTGATGGTTCTGTTAGGAGTAGAAGAGCTCCCTTTTTGCTGGAGTTGCTGAGCCAGAAGCTGCAGACCTGAGACTTCCAGTGGTCAGTCATCTTGCCCTCTTGAGAGAGAAGCCACTGAGAGAGAAGCAGAGCCAAGAAATGGACAGACGTGCCCCCTGGACTTTCAGCCAGCAAATTCCTACTTTTTTCAGGCTGGTTTGAATTGGATATGACTCGATGACTTACTAAGACCTAAAACCCATTCCAGAGACCCAACTCCCCAACTTTTTTGGATAAACACCCCCCAGCTCTCTTTTCAAGAGGAATATGATTGGTCTTGTTTATACTACTTTAGACGTTTAAAAGTGTTATTTTGTTTGGTTGGTTTTGTTAGTATTTTGAATTTTTAGCCCATTTTTGGCATCAGATTGCTATTATAAATTAAGGTTCTGGTGTGCAGTTTTCACTCACATGACATCTATAATAGAGTTTCATATTTTGGGATGTAGGTAATCAAACTTTCCCACTTAGAAGACTAAGGTGATGTATGTGTTTATCTTTGGAAAGTATGCGGAGAATTTTGCTATGGCAGGTATTCTAAGTCTTTTTCATCTTGATCGCTAATACAAGATTTATGTTCCCACTCACAGAATATGACAAGCTAATAAATTAGACTTGCTGACAACCCTTCAATAAAGGAACTATTTTTCTACAGTTAACAGTCCTTTTTAGATATTAATATGCTTACTTAGTGTTAATCATCTTATCAGAGGCAAAACTGTCTCCTAAAGAATATAAACTCTAGCAAAGACTAGCCATATTCAAAACGCTTTTTTATTATCATAATTCTTTAAGTGAAACACATACTTGAAATCAACATACTACACATGTGTCCTTGCCTTGCATGGTAGTGCAGAAGTGTCAAAATGACTGAGCAAGCTGGGACCCTATAAATCATTCTCAATAGCCATGAGAAAAAATTATAACTATTTTGTGACCTTTAAAACTTTTGGTCAAAACATTGAAATCTATCTCACTGTTAGTTATAAATGTAGAAAGAAATTTTTAAAATAGTAAAACTAACGTTTGTTTAGTACATTGTAATTTAAAACATTAGAAACTTTGAGAATTACAGCGTTTATTTTTAAAAAACTAATCAAAAGAGTTTGAACAGTGCTTACCTTCTTTTCATCATATAACTTACGACATGGAGCCGGCATCTTTTCTGTGCCTTGGTGAATTGTTACACTTCTTTCTAAGTTTGGGTCAGCTTCCAACATTTTATCCTTTATGCTCTGAATGGTGTTAAATATCTCCCAAAGTTCCTTAATGTGAAATTTTTGCCAGCATCACTCCCTCTGAGATTTCTTCATCCTTTTCATCATAAACAAAACAGGTGGGGTATCTGTTGGCATCTTTCCTATAAATCAAGTTCCAGGACTTTATCAGCATTGAGTAGACCTACTTAGGCTCCATAAAGAGTCATTTTAAAACCCAGAACCTGAAGACAAGTCAGTGTTAGAAATTGTAGTGCTTTATGCATTCTCAACTGTCTTCTTTAGATCATGCTCTCCTTAGGTTCTCACTGTTATTATTCTCTGATTTGGGCTTGGCCAAACTTATCCCAATTTTAGAGATAAAGCAAATGAGGCCCAAAAGAATGAAATTATGGCAGCAGTTGTCAGGATGCTCATCAGCCCCATTTCCTTCTCTTGGGCACAGAATTAAACTACATTTCTCTTACAAATAGATCAAGCCACGTGATTAGTTCTCACCAAACGAATGTGAGAGAAGGAATGTGTCACTTAGGGGCTGGGACAGTTAACAGAGGGTGAGACTTCTCCTTGCATTCCTTCCTTCCTTTTCTACAGTGACCTTAGAGACTACCTGTGAGGGTGCTGGAACCACAGTGGAAAGAGCCTGGGTCCCTGAGTCAGCTCTTGGAGGAAATCCATCCAAGCTACATTGAACTGTGACATAAGTGACAAATCCTTGTTTGTTAAGTCACTGAGACCGTTAGGGCCTTTTATTATAGCAGTTAGTCTTCCCTGACTAATGCAGAAGTAATCAAGTGATCTGCTCAAAATCACACAGCTGGTCAGTAACAAAGCAAGTCGTGAAAACAAGCCTCTCAAATCCTTTGGTGTGTATAAAAGCTTGATTATCCTAGTGGTTTAAGGAGTTGAACAGATCTGATGAAGAGGGGGTTGTGAGTTAGAGGGCAAAATCAATATAGGCCCTCCTTTTCTAAACCCACCCATCCTGAGCTCCTCATGGTGGCTATTCTTAGAGGGTGGTGAATATGTCCTTCATATTTGATTCACACCTAATATATCAAGAGATTTCAATTACAACTATATTGTAACTTAGGAAAGCTACTTAGGGTCTGTTGGATTTCCTCTATCCATAGGAATAAAGTGAGAACTTTTTTTTTTGTCAAACCAGAAAAAGCAATACAAAGGGGTTGAAGCCAACATATGATAGCAAACTTTGTTATTATACCCGGCCTGGCACAATCTTCAAGCTCACACTTCAAGGCTGCCTTTAAAAAGCACTTCCACGTGGATCGTGCATGTTTCCTAGAGATGAGACATGGGCTCCATGTCCTTTTGGTGCAGTAGAGGTAAGGTAGAGGAAGGAAAGGAAAAATGTCATTTCAGAAAGGAAGGATCTTGTCATGAGAATACTGCCCTTCACCATTTTTATTTTTCAGTCAGCCTTGGTTTATCTGGGCCTTATAGAACTATGGAAATGAGAGAACTGATTCAACCAGGATATTAATTTCTCACTGAAAACAAATTAGAAGCTTCAAGAAGCTACATTAGTTAGCATGACACAAATAGCATTAAATAAATGCTAGCTTCAGTGCAGTCAGAGGTAGCTTTGGAAAGGTATCTATCTTATTTTCAAGGACTACGGCCGTTTGCACGATGGGAAAGTCGGTCTTTGAGAACATCATATTTATTTCTCGGCACTTGACTTGCTCCTGATCAGCATGATCAAGCATAGAGATGGGGCACACGTTGTCTCAAGCGGTCCACTCTCTCTAGGAACTCTCCTTAATTGTCTGAAATGTTGACAGGTTGATAAAAAATGGAAAAGTTTAGAGATGTTTTCCCAAATGCCATTTGTCAAAATTTTGCAAAGCTCTTCCTCTCCTCTCTCCCCTGCTACCTCTTTTTTTCCCATAATTTCTGCTCTGGAGGCAAAATTGATGGCCATGAATAGTAAGGATGTTTTAAAGAGTTGTCAAAAGCACTTTCAGAGACATTAATAATTGTCAGTCTGCTAAGTAAACAATTAACTTTTAATCATCTTTTCAACCACTTTTTTCCCATTTAAAAAATTTGTATGTATTAAATACATGCAAAGATATATTTATATCATGCATAAGGTATAAAGAACAACAGTGAAATGAACACCCATTCGTAGAACACTACCAGTAGCCCCCAAAAGCCCCTATGTCCCTTCCCACTGCCATCCACCTCCCTCCCCACAGAGGAGACCTTTATCCTAAATTTATTATTATTCCCTATGTACCCCTAAATTTCATATGTATGTATCTCTAAATCATATAATTATATATTGTTTGATTTTGCACGTTTTTGAACTTAGTATACAGTCACATGTCACTTAACGATGGGCATATGTTCTGAGAAACAAGCCTTTAGGTGATTTTGTTGTTGTGTGAACATCACAGAATGTACTTACACAAATCTAGATGGTGTAGCCTACTACACACCTAGGCTATATGGTACTAATCTTATGGGACCACCATCATATATGCGGTCTCTCGTTAACCAAAACGTCATTATGCAATGCCTGACTGTAAATGTATTTATACTGTATATATTCTTTTGCTCTTTCCCCCTACTATGTTATTTTATGTTCCTGAGATTCAACCTATGGATGCATGTAGCTACTGTATAGTTATGCATTGTATGAATTTACCATAATTTATTTATCCATCCTACTGTTGATGCATATTTGGGTGGTTTCTCTTCTGTCTTTCAGCATTCTGGCTATAAACTCTCCTATATGTGTTTCACGCTGCATACATGCAAGAGATGCCCTAGAGTAGTGGCTTTCAAACTTTAGCGTGCATTTGAATGGCCTGGAGCACCTACAAAAATCCCCAGGCTCCATCTCCAAGGATTCTAAGAATCCTTCTGAGGTCGAGTCCAGGAATCTACATCTCTACAACCTCCCTGATGATCCTGAAGCACGTGGTCCACTGACTTTCCCTTTGAGAACCACTGACTAGTGTACATGTCTAGGAGGAGAATGCCAGATCCTAGGTCATACACATCTTTAACTTTACTTTGAAATTCAAAATTGTCTTTGAAAGTGGTTATGCCACTGATCCTCCCACCAAAAGAGCGGAAGAGTTTCCACTGTTTCACATCCTTGCCAATAGCTCAAAAATGTTTCTGTTTGCTAATTCTGTGGGTATTAACTGGAATTTCCTTGGATTTTCATTTGAATTTCTAATTATTCATGAGATTGGGCATCTGTTCATATTATTTCCTTGTTGTGTCCTCTTTTCCAAAGTACTGTTCAAAACTTTTTCCTGGTTTTCTATTGTTAGTAGTTTCTTATTGATTTGTAGGGGAAATTTCTCCTGTTGGTCAGAGATATGATGAAAAAGAATGCAGAAGAGATGAGATGTGAGAAGGACTTCACCACCATTGCCGGCTTTGAAGATGAAGGGGTCCATGAGCCAAAGAATGTGGGATGGCCTCTAGAAGCTGAGAACAACACGAGGCCAACAGCCAGCAAGGAGACTTCAGCACTACAACTGCATGGAACTAAGTTCTGCCAACAACCTGCCTGCAGCAGGGAGCATCCTCTCCCCCAGGGCCGTCAGTAAAGAAAGCTGTCCTGGCACCTTGGTTCTAGCCTGGTAAGACCCGTATGTACTTCTGACCTATAAAACTGTAAGATGATAAATTTGTGTTGTTTTAAGCTGTTAAATTTGTGGTCATGTGTTATGACAGCAATAGAAAACTAATACAGAAGTATGTGTGCTTTCCAGTTGTGTGCAATGTATTTATCCATTAGATGAAGTTTAATTATGTTTAGATCAACTGTATCCTTACTCATTATCTGTCTTATGAATAATTGTGAAAGATAAAGGTGGATTTTTTTTCAGTTTCTCTTTATACCTCTGTTAATTTTTGCTTTATGTGTTTTGAAGCCATATTAAGTATTAGTCATTAAGAATTGTTATAGTGATAATTGTCATATTTGTAACCCACTCTGAAAATCTTTGTCATTTAAATGCGTAGTTTAGTTTTTTAAATTTATTGAAGTTAGTGAGATATTTGGATTCCTCTATGCTCCCTTAGTTTGTGTTTTTCATTTGTCCTTCCTGTTCTACTTCTCTTTTTTCTCCTTTCTTGCCTTTTTTTAGGTTTGATCATATTTCTCCTTCCCTCATTCTCTTTTTACTCTCTCCAAAGTCGTGAGTTTTATACTCTATTGCTATACTTTTACTGACTACCTTAAACATTTTAATATAAGTAATTAATGTTTTTAAATACAAAGTTAATATTTCTTCTTAAAACAATAAAAGGAACTTAGACCATTTTAATTCTGATCACCCCATCCTAACTTCTTTGCTATTTTCTTTCAATATTTTAGTTATATCTCATTTTTATCAATCCCACAAATTAGACAATTATTGTTTTATAAAGTAAATTTTCACTTAGTTCTACATACATATTTATCAAGTTCTGTGCTTATGTTTTATCCTTGAATATTAAACTTTCATTTGGGATCATTTTTCTTCTGCCTAAAGAATATCACTTAGAATTTCCTTTCATGTTGGTATTTTGACAGAAAACTCTGTTTTTGCTTGTCTGATAGTATCTCTACTTTACTCTTTTCCTGGAAGATAATTTTATTGGGTTTAGAATTCTATTTTAACAACTATTATTTTCCTCTCAGAACATTAGATTATTCCATTGTCTTCAGGATTGTACTGTGGCTGTTGAAAAATTAGCTGTCAGTCTAAATGGCATTCTTTTGGAGATAAACAATCTTTTTTCCATAGCTGGGTTTAATATAATCTCATTGTCTTCAGTGTTTTGAAATTTTATTTTGTTGTCCACATGTAAATTTCTCCTTATTTATCCTGCTTCAGGTTCCTTTGGCTCTTGGAATTGAAGGTTAGTGTCTCTTGTCAGTTCTGGAAATTTTTCATCCGTTATCTTTTGAGTCTCCTTACCTTTTTTTCACCTCTTTCTATAACCCTGATTAGACATAGTAAGACATTTTCACTCTATGTTCCATATCACTTACCTTCTCTTTAATGTTTTTCTCTCTTCAGTTGTTTTGTTCAGTGTGGCATTGTGAATAATTTCTTCAGCTCTGTCATCTCATTAGTTCTCTCTTTAGCTGTATCTAATCTATCCATTGAGTTTTTGTTCCAGTATTTGGTATTTTATTTCTAGCAATTCCGTTTGGTTCTTTTAAAAATCTACTTTGTCATTTTTAAGATTCTATCTTCCTTATTCATATTAAACATATTAAAACATAACTTTTTATTTTAAGTCTAAAATCCCATAGTCTCCAGGTTGATATTCTATTAGCTGTCATCTATGATATCTTGCTCCTTTCTTTATTATTATTACCTTTATTTTGCTATGAACTCAGATTTCATGGATATTTTGAAAACTTTGGTTTAAAGTATATTCCTCTACAGAGGGTTTAATATTTGCTTCATCCAGGAGCCTGACACCATTTTAAACTAAATTTTTGGCTTAGCCTTTTTCAGAATGTTCTGAAAGTGCAACTTATGTTGCAAATCCATATGTGGACTTATTTGTGGTTATGAAAGGTTTTGTTTCCCCTCTTCCCGTTGTCAAGGTCAGGAAAGGCAATTTTCTTTTAGTTTCCCTCTGCACATGTGTTTTTTTCTAGTTCACTGTTTCTCTGATAATATAATTCTTTAGGATCCAAGATTTATGCAGAGATCTCCTATTAGACTCTCCACCTTAAGTAGGCTATGAGTTTTGTCTTCTGTCTCCCTTTTCCTATGCAATAGTCAAAATGGAAGCTCAAAGTGACCAGAATTCATCAGAAGCTCTCCAGAATGAAAGCTGACCTCATTGCTCTATAGATCCCCACTTCTTTTTTTTTTTTTTTTTTTTTTTGAGGAAGATTAGCCCTGAGCTAACTGCTGCCAATCCTCCTCTTTTTGCTGAGGAAGGCTGGCCCTGAGCTAACATCCATGCCCATCTTCCTCTACTTTATATGTGGGACGCCTACCACAGCATGGCTTGCCAAGCAGTGCCATGTCCATGCCTGGGATCCGAACCAGCGAACCCCAGGCCGCCAAAAGGGAACGTGCACGCTTAACTGCTGTGCCACCGGGCCGGCCCCTATAGATTCCCACTTCTACTGTATTTTTTGGCGTCTGAAGATTCCTTGCTTTATTTCCATCTCAACAATACATTTCTAAAGGAGTTTTTTGTCATTTATCCAGGGAAATCTTTTTAGTGTTTCTACTCCACCATATTGTTGGAAAGGAAATTCTTTCAAAAACAAGTTATATTTATTTACCCACTAAAGATTTATGCTGAGCACCTGGCATATAAAGAATAACAAAACCCAGTCCCTGCTTTAAAAGAGATGGCAATCTTGATGGCTGGGTTCTCTGGGATTTCTTCTTGGAATCTGCAACATTTTCTCTATTCAATTTATATGAGAAAATATAATATAACCAGCATTCTCTCAAAATAGAGTCTAATAGCTACATAATGTGAATGCATAAGTGTTTGTTGAATGAATGTATGTATTAAATATTAATTGATTAATGAAACAAGTTAGTGTTAGTTGTGTTACATCAGAGTTTTTTTCCTGAGCCTAATGTAGTACAAAAAATATAGAGGAGAAGCCTTACCCAAGAGACTGGAGGGTAGCCGTGCTTACAACCCCACAGCACTTCTGCTTTGTTTTGTTTCTCTCACATAGGTTTTGTTAGTTGTCTATGGCACAGTCCTAATGAGAACTTAGAGGCGTCAGTACATAACATATGTTGAGCCTTTCCAGTTGGATCTAATACATCGCATCCAGTAACAACTCTTTCGGTCTTCTCCTAATCACATCCTGGTTCCACTTTACACTTCTCTGCCATGTGAAGATAAAGTCTAGTGACAGGCTGACATAGTGTGGTAGGGTGCAGATTGTGGGGAAGATAAACCCAGCATTTCTAACCCATGCTTAGATATTCAGGCAATAGTTAATTTCCGTACAATTTCTTATCATGTGGAAACATCTTAAATTTAGTCTTGATGATTCTGATAGACAGGCGTTATTGGGAAGGCCTGATGAATAATTAATCTAATACAATGGTAACCAGCAATATTAATATTTTATATCACTGTAAAGCCATCTAAAACCATCCTGTAGGCTCATGGGTAACTTAGATTGAGCACAACTTGAAACATTTCTTCACTGAAACGAGAGATTCTTCTTTTATCGCAAATATAATTATCCATTTAAGTGTCATGGGTCAATTTATTAACACTTTATTCATCGGGGTGTAATCTTTATTAGGCTTTATTGCTACCAGAAATTATATCCTACACAAATACAATAGAGATTTAAATGTTCTGGAGAATGAGCTGACGGCTTCTGCCTTTATGACGTTGTTCAGTAATGGACCTTGACCAACAGAAGATTTCCTAAGTATAAAATATTACTGCTTGATGCTAATTTGGTTCCTTTTTAATGACTGATAATCCTTGTCGATTTAGTGTGATTGTGACAATCCAGTACTGTTTCCCGCCCCGGATGTGATTGTAACAGGAGCCATTAAGTGTGTCTGCATAATAAAATTAGTCAGGGAAGCTATGTACATGGTTTCCAGGCCTTTGGATTTCCATTATAGTGGTGAGGCTTGTTGAAGTGAAAAGTCTGCCAGAGGCTCAACCAACCCCCTGGCTCCACGGATGCTATGCAGAGGACCGATGATGACCACATTAAGAAGTCCATTCTTAGAGTCCTAGAAAATTCATCATATACACATAAGAGTTATAGATTTGGGGCTAGCAGAGACGGTTTGGTCACTGATTTGCCTAACAAAGCTTTACACACAGCTCCAAAGCTTACATACATAATCAGTCTTCACAGCTAAAATTTGAGAGGAGGAAGCCTGTCCTCGGTTTGGAGATTTATCACTGCTTCAGCGGGTTGCTGTATTAAAGGAGTTGCAATTGCTTGACCTCTTTGAAAATAATTTAAATGTATGATCTGATCCCCCTGTCCCCTTGGAGGGATTTATGGGGCTTGATGCGAAGGCAGGGATAAGGACCTCATCACTATGTAAAGGCAGTGAAATAAGTAAGTGTCTCTGCCTCTCTGCCCTTCCTGTTCCACTAGTGTACACGGGATCAAATTCACATTCTTTTCTCCTAAAGCTGCTTTCACGTGAGTCCCCAGGGAACCATCTTCCTAGAGCCTACCAGAAAAGAGTAGAGACTATGTACCAAGGAAGGATCTGTTTTGCTTCTGAACTAAGTAGCCCTCGTATTAACAGGCCAGAAATTTATATTCTAAATGTTCAGAAAGTCTGAATTGAGAGCAAGAAGGTAATCGAATGTGAAGGCAACATGAGGAACTTCCCAGCAGAGGACTCATTGATGATTTATTATGTGGCATTAGCTAAAGTTTTTTTTGTTTACTAATCCCTCTGGAGTCATTAAAACTTGGGTTATTAGAAATGAGAGTGCTTGTTCAGTTTTAGAGTATAGAGCAAGCAATCAGTCAGTCATTTTTCAACACTAAGTGTTATAGTAAACCAACATTTCATGGTTTAAAAAAGAAAAAAAATAAAGGCAAACAAACAGAGAATATAATGTCTGTGCTAAGTGTCTGTTATCATCTCTCCTCTGCAAGGTTGTTATTTGATCAGAGAATATTAAGCAAATCAGAAAATTAGCTTTGTTCCATGAAAGATTGTAGCACAGTGGACTTGGTACCCTCTGTCCGTCTGGAAGCTCCATTCTTCCCCTCTGGATTTCAGCCTCAGTTTCTCCCCTTTGTCTGACCAGTGTTGGTGTCTCTCTAAGCAGAGCCAAGAGCTTTTGCCCCCAGCCAGCTGCCTCTAGGAAGTGGCAGTGTGGCATTGTCCTTTGAAGAGTATTGTAGGAGGTAACCCAAGAGAAGCCTGCCCCTTCTCTGTCCCACTTAGAGATGGGCATTGGCAGGCCCATGGGAATGATGGCCACTTCCATGAGGCTTGAAGAGGACACATTTCCCCAGTTAGAGTAACCTGCAAGGGCTGCCTTAATTTCTAAACAACAGGCCTCTTCATCAGACTTTTTGTGATGGTGATAACAAAGGCTAGATTTTTCTGGAAACATGGCTTATCATTTTCTACCGTGATGCCTACAGCTATTCTCTAATTGCTTGCCTATCTCTCTAGATTACAGGATCCTTCAAGGGAATGTCTTTCTCTCTTTTATGTCTCTAGCTCCTAGTACAGTGCCTGACTATGATTAAGCACTTGGCCACTCAGAATGGATGCCAGCTGTTTGCCGTCCTGGTGCATGTGAATGACTATCAGCCCTGTTACATACCCAAGCACCTTCACACACGTTTATTTTCTTCAAGTATTTAGACACCAAAAGTTCTAAAAGAGCAGAACACATGTCTGTTGAATGAACAAATCTGCAAAATCAAGAGAAGAGGTAAATATTAAAGGCCTGAGTTTCTCAGCCAGGGCGTCCCTTCCTTTCTCCTTGAAGGTAAACTTGCAAACCATGGAATATTTCGTCTTGAAGAATCAGGACCAAGCTCTCAAAATTCTCTAGCGAGTCTTCTGACAGGTCCTAGAGATGACCTCTTTATCATAGTCAAGATGATTTGGTTGTTCATCCTTTCATGGTGTCCTTGGCATCTTTCAGAAATGGAACCCACACTGATGGACTCAATATATGAAAATTCCACTATCTGGCAAATAGCCGTGCTTTCTTCATTTTGTAGACAGGGATGGGGTGTAGATTAGATTATTCCTCAGCAAAAAGTCACTTCCTCCCTCACTCCCAATTTCCTGGGAGGAATATATTTTCCTACCCCTTTGACGCTGAGCTTGGCCCTATAATATGCTTTGGTGTCCGCTGCCCCGTCTCTTCACTTGGGCTTGGCCGTCCACGTGATTTGCTTTGGCCAGTGTGACGTTAGCTGAAGATATAAGACTTGAAACAAGGTTGCATTTCATCACAGGAAGAACGTGCCTTGGGTAACCTCTTGTTTAAGGATGACAGGACACATAGACCAGATCTTCATCCAACCTACAGCTTCATGATGGTTAATTTTCTGTACCTTGACTGGGCTAAGGGATCCCCAAATAGCTAGTAAAACATTATTTCAGATGTCTCTGTAAGGATGCTTCAGGGAGAGATTAGCATTTGAATCAGTAAACTGAATCAAGAACATCTGCCCTCACCAATGTGGGTGAGCATCCTCCAATCCCTTGAAGACCCAAATAGAACAAAAAGGGGGAGGAAGGGCAAATTCGCTCTCGCTCTTCTTGAACTGGGATGTCCATCTTCTCCTGCCATTGGTCATCAGAGCTTCTGGTTCTCGGGCCTTAGGACTCAGACTGAATTATACCAATGGGTTTTCTGGGTCTCCAGCTTGCAGACAGCATATCATGGGACTTCTCAGCTTCCATAGTCACACGAACCAATTCCCATAATGATTCTTCCTTTATGTATCTATATATATTCTATTGGTTCTGTTTCCCTGGGGGAACCCTGACTAACACCAGCTTGGAGCCAGATCAATTGAAGCCCAAATGACCCACAGATATCTGAGAAATAAATGTTAAAAAAGAAAAATCGGTTGCTTTTTTTCATTTGTTTTTTAATCAGTGCTTCTCCAGACAAGATTTTGTTCAGCTTTGCCTAAGTATATTCCTCCTGACTGTCACAAGATTATCATTATCTTTTCAGCCAAGATGATGTATTTAACTGTGGCCTTGCCACAGTAACAGAGAAACTCCTCACAGATAAACAGGAGGTAGTCACAAAGCAACCCCACACCAGGCCCACAACGCACACTGAGCTTCAAGTGGCGGCTCCACAGATGTGCCCACAGAAGTTGAAGAGGCAGCTTAACAG